GGTTGGTTAGGTTCAGTCATATATCTACGTTAATTTTAACTCCAATAAAAAAAATTGACCTCACACATAATGAAATCGGTAGCTTTATCATTTCATAAGAAAAAAATTAGAGAAAATATATTAATTCAGGAAAACTTGGCTTATTAGGCAAATCAAGCCTTGCATAGTAGGCTGACAAGTGCGTTCTGGCTACTAGGTACGACATATATATATATATATATATATATATATGTCGTACCTAATAGCCAGAACGCACTTCTCAGCCTACTATTCAAGGCCCGATTTGCCTAATAAGCCAAGTTTTCATGAATTAATGTTTTTTCGTCTACCTAACCTACCTAACCTAACCTAACCTAGCTTTTTTTGGCTACCTAACCTAACCTTACCTATAAATATAGGTTAGGTTAGGTTAGGTAGGGTTGGTTAGGTTCGGTCATATATCTACGTTAATTTTAACTCCAATAAAAAAAAATTGACCTCATACATAGAGAAAAGGGTTGCTTTATCATTTCATAAGAAAAAAAATATAGTAAATATATTAATTCAGGAAAACTTTGCTTATTAGGCAAATCGGGCCTTGAATAGTAGGCTGAGAAGTGAGTTCTGGCTACTAGGTACGACATATATATATATATACATACATACATACAGTATATATATATATATATATATATATATATATATATATATATATATATATATATATATATATATTTATATATTTATTTATTTTTTTATTTATTTTGTACAGTTGGGTTTGTTCTTGACTCTCAATTGAGAATTCCAAGTTCATACCCCAGGCAGAAGTTTTGGGGCGCATTTCCTATCACCTGTTCACCTTCTTGAGGTTATCTTGAGATGATTTTGGGGCTTTTTTTAGTGTCCCCGCGGCCCGGTCCTTGACCAGGCCTCCACCCCCAGGAAGCAGCCCGTGACAGCTGACTAACTCCCAGGTACCTATTTACTGCTAGGTAACGGGGGCATTCAGGGTGAAAGAAACTTTAGCCCATTTGTTTCTGCCTCGTGCGGGAATCGAACCCGCGCCACAGAATTACGAATCCTGCGCGCTATCCACCAGGCTACGAGGCCCCTAAACCTAGCAGTAAATAGGTACCCAAGAGTTAGGTTCTTGTGGGGTTGTATACTGTATCATGTGTGTATATATATATATACACAGGTTTCCTACCCCTGAGAGACAATTAAATTATATTTGGTGTATGGAGCATACACATGTGTCCTAACAGGAAATGTGGAGATAAATTTAAGTTATAAATTTGGTTCATATGTGAAGACATCTAGAAGTGAATGCGGACAAAAGCACAGTAATGTAATGTAATGTGGTGGAAAGTGGAAGAAACTGTGAGAATTAGAAGACTTTCTGGAAATGGTTAAATTGTTTAAATACTGTACCTGATGTCTGCATGAATGAGTGGTAGAGCCTAATGCTTGTAAGGCATGAGCATCAACACTCAACGTATGTGCCATTAGTAAAATATTTTATTTTTTATAAAATGTACAAAATGTTACGGAAACTATTATCGTGGTATAAAAAGTGGAACAGAGCCCTAATTGCCCCAACTGAAGGAATAAAATCAAAGTAAAAGTTGCATCATTATGTACAGGTACAGTCACTGATCTATTATTTGGCCAAACTGGACTGAGGTGCCTGGGGGAATATAAACCTTATATTTAGACACAAACTGATAGAATAATGGGAGACATCACTCGTTTCTATTGTGCTACTGAATGTTAATTTAATTTAATAATAATTTTCTAATATTGTACTCATAATAGAGGAACTAAATTAATTTTACTATATACAGTAACAAAACTATATATACAGTACTGTAACTCATAAAAATTAGAATTAAATGAATTTTTCCTTTGTGTACCTATAACTTGGTAGTTGGGTGGGAAGGCTAATATCTGATCATTGTCAAGGATCCTTGTATCATAACGGAGAGATGGTTTCTTTCTTCAGTTTCTCATTATGAGTACTTTTTATTTATTTATTTTACAGCATTGTTCCTCCAATTTGTTATGGAATCACACGTTACAATGAAATATTGCAAATACTTAATCGTCTTCAGGTATTTTGTACTAGTTATATAATTAAACAGTAAATTTAGCATGACTCGTTTTGCTTGTCACAAATAACTTTTTTGTTTATGATGGCTGTAAGCAAATTTTTATTAGGTCTTACTAATATTTGTTTCGTACAGTTCATTTAAATACATAACTCATTTGCCTTGAATACAACCAAGAAAATATATGATATTTTTATGTATACAGTTTGTAAGTTACAAATTATCCAACAATTTTTATTACATGATTTTAACTTGACAACCCATGTTAATTATAATGCAAAATAAACATTTAATTTCTGTTCATATTACTATTATTCTGACCTAGGTACTGCACATAAATTTTTTTTGTTAAATTTGCTTTCTTGTCATGGGTGTAGGTGGTGTTTCTGGAGAGGCTTAATGGAGGCACCCTGTGGATAGCTACAGAGAGATGGCTCCGCACACAAGTCAAATCAGCCACATCAGCCCAGGATCCATAATAACCTACACGAGACTATAATCAGAACCTGGCAACCCCTCACAGAGCCACAGGGAGCAGGGGATTCTTTACAATCATCTTCGCCAAAGGAAACATCAGGAAAGCAAGCGAAACAAAACATTCAACTGCTAAGTTCACACAGACGACTCTGCAAGCAATCCACCAATTATTTAGTTCCAACTCCTCTGGTTGGTAACCACTCCTTCTCCCCGTCCCATCCCAAATCCTTATCCTGACCCCTTCCAAGTGCTATATAGTCACAATGGCTTGGTGCTTTCCCTGTGATAATTCCCTCCCTTCCTCCTCAAGTTGTAGCTGTTAGCCATCAGGTGGCAGCACCCCAGGAGCTTTTGGCTCTCATGTCAAATTTAGTCAGTCCTTCATCTGTGTCTGAAGTTACTTTTCTTGGATCACCTCTGTGTACAATAATGGCATTGCAGTATGGCCACTCACAGTACCGTATCAACAATACAGTAGTGAAAAGCTTAAGAACAACAACACGGCAATCAAAATTAATTATACCATATGATTTCTCATGTCTAACTCAACCTGTTAAGGAGGGAACTAGGGTATCAGTTCATTTAAATTTTATTTTGACTTATGGCTAGTAATGATATGGTTCCCTTTAATGGGAATGACAGTTTTATATTTGAAGTACGTATCATTGATACAATCACGTGTCAAAGTACAGTAACTAGTTTCTCACCCTTAATCCTACGTACATGGTTTGGGAACCGACTTTATTCTATGAAGAATTATATACAAAACTAAGCTCATCCTCAAACAAAAGGCCAAAGTCCATTCCCATGCACCCGCCAAACCCCGTTTATGAATGAAAAATGATTTACACACGACTCAACTGATGAAGTTCGAACACTTCTCGAACAAGTGCTTCGCTGACGACTTTTGTTCAAACCACAACGCTGTAAATGCTTCACCCACTTACTGCAACTACAGTACAAATAATCACCAATAGAACAGAAATGTGTACACATGATCAGTCTACATCACTGTACAGTATAATGAAAACACACATAACTTTCATACTTTTCCAGCAGGTAATTTGCAAAGTAATGACTACTCTCAGTTATCTGGATTATATAGAAACCACCTCTCACTGTATAAGCCAGACATCTGGATAAGCAGGAATACTTACTGGGAAGGTCCATAAATGAATATATTAAAACATTTTTAATACCACAACTAACATAATTCGTATTTCTATACACACCATACATAGTTAGGGGAGGATTGAAAGATTGTAATGACAACAAAAATCTCATCTTACCTTGTCGGAGACCGTCTGCTTCATTGATGGAGATCTTGATAATGTTCATTTATGTAACCTAATAACACTAAAATTCAGAGTTTTTTAAAATAAAAAATGAAAAGATGACAAATTTACCACAACTCTACAGAAAACAAGTCCACAATTTCAGACTCCATCAAAAATTACAAGGGTAGCTGTAGGAGGCTGAGATTTCTTAAACGGAGGCAATGTGGTCGACTTCGGACCAGCCTATGACAGTCACATACCACCCACAGGTCATCTTGAAAAGTTAGGTATTGCCAGCCCCGAGTATCTGGCTTCCAATCTTGACAGACAAGGCTGCTTGGAGAATGTATGTACTGTACTGTATGAAGGTTTCCCATCTGTTCCAATGCGGTTTTTCTTGCAAATTTGAGGTCAAGTGTTCCATTACTTTTTGCATGTATACTTCCAAGTAAGCCTCTGATGACGTATTGTTGAACATGATAGCATTGAATCATTCTTTGGGGTTGTTAATGAGGATGTTTACCTGGTTTTCCAATTCAATTTATTGAAAATGTAAAGCCATGAAGATTTGTCGTTTCCGGGGATGCAATATGAGATTAGAACACAAAAGAGGTCAGTTAAATGGTGGCATTTCAAAAGTTATGATAAAATTATCTATTGATAGACCATAATGTGTTGCAGCTAGATTATGAGACTATTACTGCTTTTGACTGCAAGAAGCATGTACAGTATGCTGTTTTCATGCAAATATGCGCACACTACAAAGATCCTGAATAAAACTAAATATAAAAACAATTGACAAATAAATGATGGGTGAAATACAAAATAAAAACCTTACTGCATATATCCTGGCACAGCAAAGAAATAATATGCCAGGAGTGGTAAAATGTGCATGTAGTACTATGCATGCAAAATCTTCTATGACATCCCATGAACTCAAAACACTGTACATATACTATAGCATACACATAAAAGAAACCATTTATAAATCACGACAAACAGGAAAACGTTATGGTTTGGCACATTGACAAATTAATAATAAAGGACTATGACAAGGATGAGTGTATACAAAACGTAAAGGTTCTATGACCTTGTAATAACCAGAGACCAGGAGAATAATTGAGAATCAAATCTGAGAAGGTTGGAAACATAAATGCAATGCAATAAAAATGCTTTATTCAGAACATGTCGTTACAAAGAGTTCCCACGGACAAGCCTGGTCTGAACAACAATGCAGCTTGAACTTATAATGATCACACCTCTGAGAATTTATATACAAAAGACAAAACCACTAGAGATGCACCTTTGATACTTTGAAGTTAACTTGAGTTTACATTGTACTGTAATGTCTTCACATCTTCACTAATAAATAAAAACTACCTCAGCAGTATTCATATTTCCCCCCATGACTTGCCAACTCCAAGTATACACTTACATATAAGTATACAGTTACATATACCAAGAACAGTATAAACTCACTTTTGCCTGGAATACATTCATATACTGTACTGTATGCCAAGCATACACTACATACACCAAGTACACACTCTACATACACTAGTATACAAGCACACAGTTGTATAAACCAAGTACACACTTGTATATACCAAGTATACATTTGATGTCCAAAAAAGACATTAGAAAATGAAGAAATAATGAAGTTAGAGTCCACCCTGGACCATTATCAACTTGTGTAATTATCATGACATGATAATGGTCCAGGACAGATTGAAACATCGTCGTTTCCTTGTTTTCCGACGTCTGCTTTGGATATCATATCTTTAGCCGTGTTATTGTGACTCGATGTCTGCAAGTACACACTTATATGCCCTTGCACATACCAAATATACATTAATATACACCAGGTATACAGTTACACTTACCAAATATGCACTCGCATATCACAAGTATACATTTTAATATTCCAAGTACAGTACACTTTCACATAAAACAATACAAGCTACACTGTTTAGAGCTTGACACTAGTAGTACAGTCAGGTTCTTTCTCGACTCATAATTGGGAATTCCGAGTTCGAATCCCGGGCAGGACAAATATATTGGTGCATTTTCTATCATCTAATGCCCATGTTCACCTAGCAGTAAATTGGTACCCAACAGTTAGTCAGCTTGTTGTGGGGTTGCATCCTGGGGAGAATCAGTAATTTGACCTTGAACAGACCTCAACATAAGCATAACATGTACTTTATATATATACGCTGGCTACCCGTCTCCTGACACGGTAAATTATTATTATAATAATTGTGATACACACAACATAAACAACATTGAGGTTATGTCTACAACATCTACATTGCTGAGGAACAACATGTTTGGAGTTATGAATGAGCACAAGACTGGCAGACTCACGAGGAGAGAGTAGCATCCTAGTAATGTCAGACATTTCTCTAAAGCAGCGATACTTAACCTTTTTTTTCCTTGTTTACACCCCTTCTAAACTGCCTAGCCATTCTTGCACACCCTCCTTCTGGGTTAAAAGAACATACTGTTATGAGGATTGATGGCAGATCCATCACGTTTTTTTTTTAATATATAGTAGTGACAAATGTTGAGGAATGCCCTCTTTCAGGCATTCCTCCAGTTTCCCATACTGGCAACTCTGCACATGACTGAGGGGTGTAGGTCCATCTCTTGGAAATGAAGTCCAGGCATTTACTGTGATCAATACGGTAGTCACATGTACACGAATCCTATGTATTCGGCTTTGTGATGACATCACGCCAACACGTCTCCTTTATATAGTGCTGCTTCTAAAGTAAGTCTGCCATAAAATCTCTGCACTTTCTTGAGCATTGCTAATTTTGCCTTTGATATTATTCCTGTCTCATTTGTGGCTCTCTTTTCAAAATGACTCCACCTGCTGAACAGATTGGTATTGAGGACATTGCTCCTTCTGGTTTTCTCATCAAGGACATATTTATATCTTAGGATGAAAGCAGAAGACTCCACTTTCCCACATGTTACCAACACAAGGCATCACAAGTATTTGACTTAAACTTTTCTCTTTGATTCCTGCAATTTAGTTCTCAATTCTGCACAGCCGAGAGAGGATTTGGAATGTTTTGAGCTTTTATGAATGCACTTCTGTTTGACATTCTTGACCATATTGTGACCCCTGTATGGATGATTTAAAATACCATGAGGTGCTGGTGTACAAATGTTGTCCTGTTTGACAACTCATGATCTGCATAATGCACACTGTGAATCTTGACATAAAGGGTAACAGAATGTGATAGTTCAGACAGAAAATTTCTTTGAGATCTCTGGAACACATTCTCAATACACTACAGTACTGCAATTTTTAATTCAACTGTGTGAATTTTACATTTATAGATGGTTTACAGAAATGTACTCATCAAATATTCAGGCCTTACTGTAAATATTATCTTATACCACAAAAGTACATAACCTTGTGCCTATGTGTAATTTTTGTGCCACATGTATGCCTCACTTTGCACGTGTATGAAATATCCATTCGACTACGTGATATTTTTATGAGACACGTAGACAACTCAGTTGAGGATACAGTTAAAGAGAATCTAAGAAATAATATATATACGGTAAATAAATCCAGAGATGACAGCAGTATGCTCTACCTCTATCTAGCAGTTTGAAAGCTGCTCCCATGACAAAAACTATTAACATCATTTTACTTATACTTTAGATTCTTGTTCAACACCCAATATAGTCTCAACATTTTAGTCTGAATCATCTGGTTTTTCCCTAAGGCCCTCACTAACTCTCTCTTTGCCCATAATGTCCAACATGGCTCGGGCCTCAGGATGTGCATCTAATGCACTTTTCTTCTTTCGGGTTCCTTCCTGAAACCATAAGAGAAAACAATAGCATAAAAACTTACACATTATATAATTTCATTGATATAACGGCTTCTTGTACTCTTTCAATGCAAAAAGCCAAAACCTGAATATAACATTAACTTCTCAAAGCTATACAACAACTTTGCGAGCAAGTTAACCTATTTTGCTCAAATTTGTGCAATAAACATTTTGCTAAACTGCACATGCAAATCCTTTAACCATACTAATGTATGATTTTTACACAACCTTGTTTATGCCCTAATCAAAATACAGTACACACAGTATACTTAGGTATACTGTATTTAATTTCTGGGAAAATTCTAGCCAAAAGAATAGTGAGCAAAAACAGCTAGTTAATGTGTCTGCGAACACTGACCTTGGCATGCTATGTAAAACAAGCATGCCAATCCCAGCACACTTCAATCAACTGAAACATTCGGGCCTAACCACAGGTGTAGACAGGGGATTTAAAAGGACCCTTGGAATACCCAGGTACAGTAAGGCATCCCACTGTAACGGTTCTATTGTTACGTAAAGTATGGTGACAAATAAACACAGACACTAAGATACTATATATATATTTGGTCGAATATACAGAAGTACACAGGTGATACTTTGGTGTGAGTTGAGCGCACTGAGTACAGTATCTCGCAAGTGTCTGCTCTAGACCACACTTGAAAGTTGACTCTGGTTAATGTGATGATGATGAAGATTAAGCCACCCAAAAGGTGGCACGGGCATGAATAGCCCGTAAGTGGTGGCCATTTTAAGCCATTACCAGTATCAAGAGCTGATACTGGAGATCTGTGGAGGTGCGAATGCACCCTGCATGATGGGAGATGTCTCCCTTGTGAATGTGTTAAGATGAAGATGAAGCCACCCAATAGGTGGCACGGGCATGAATTGGTAAGTGGTGGCCCTTTTGAGCCATCACCAGTATCAATAGATGATACTGGAGATCTGTGGAGGTGCGACTGCACCCAGCGTGACGGGAGATGTCTCCCGTGTTTTAAACAACGGACGATCCTGTGCGACCTCCCACCCTACGACCCCAGTTAGATGACATCAGCGAAGAGGAGGAAGTTAACTTTGATGGTTATGTAACGCGAGCAGGGCGTACAATTCGCCGACCAGCTAAGTTCCTTGATCAAGTATTTTTCCTTTCATCCCCTGGGAGGGGGAGTTCTGTAGCGAGTAGATTATCCCAATAATATACTCGCTCCAAATATAGTGTTAATGTTCCTGTCAACCTTTGGAGATGAATGAGGTGAGGCGTTGCCCGGGCAACATAGCGAGTAGATTATCCCAATAATATACTCGCTCCAAATATAGTGTTAATGTTCCTGTCAACCTTTGGAGATGAATGAGGTGAGGCGTTGCCCGGGCAACATGGTGAGATGCCCGAGCAATATAAGCAGCGGTGTAGCGAACATTAACTAGTCTACTTTCAAGTGTGGTCTAGAGCAGACACTTGCGAGATACTGTACCGACGCTCAGTGCGCTCAACTCACACCAAAGTATCACCTGTGTACTTCTGTATATTCGACCAAATATATATATAGTATCTTAGTGTCTGTGTTTATTTGTCACCATACTTTACGTAACAATAGGACCGTTACATTGGTGACCCAGTGAGTGACAAAGAACACCTAGTCACAAACTAGATCTTCGCCATGGATTTATCTACCAGGTTTCCAGCATACAACGCAGATGAGCCAGAATTTTGGTTCATGCAGATGGAGGCTATTTTCGACCTTCACGAAATTTCGACTGAGAAAGCCCGATATGCCTGTACCCTGCCAACACTTACCTCGGAGGCTATGCACACTGCCTCCGCTGTCATCACCGCGCCATCACCGGACACCAGGACGTACACTGCATTGAAGGCCGCTCTTCTACGGGCAGCAATGAAACGCCGCATTCAACAAAGGGACCAACTCCTCACTGACAAAAGGTTAGTAGACAAAACACCAGCCCAGCTTACGACCCCAGTTAGATGACATCAGCGAAGAGGAGGAAGTTAACTTTGATGGTTATGTAACGCGAGCAGGGCGTACAATTCGCCGACCAGCTAAGTTCCTTGATCAAGTATTTTTCCTTTCATCCCCTGGGAGGGGGAGTTCTGTAGCGAGTAGATTATCCCAATAATATACTCGCTCCAAATATAGTGTTAATGTTCCTGTCAACCTTTGGAGATGAATGAGGTGAGGCGTTGCCCGGGCAACATAGCGAGTAGATTATCCCAATAATATACTCGCTCCAAATATAGTGTTAATGTTCCTGTCAACCTTTGGAGATGAATGAGGTGAGGCGTTGCCCGGGCAACACGGTGAGATGCCCGAGCAATATAAGCAGCGGTGTAGCGAACATTAACTAGTCTACTTTCAAGTGTGGTCTAGAGCAGACACTTGCGAGATACTGTACCGACGCTCAGTGTGATGATGATGAAGATTAAGCCACCCAAAAGGTGGCACGGGCATGAATAGCCCGTAAGTGGTGGCCATTTTAAGCCATTACCAGTATCAAGAGCTGATACTGGAGATCTGTGGAGGTGCGAATGCACCCTGCATGATGGGAGATGTCTCCCTTGTGAATGTGTTAAGATGAAGATGAAGCCACCCAATAGGTGGCACGGGCATGAATTGGTAAGTGGTGGCCCTTTTGAGCCATCACCAGTATCAATAGATGATACTGGAGATCTGTGGAGGTGCGACTGCACCCAGCGTGACGGGAGATGTCTCCCGTGTTTTAAACAACGGACGATCCTGTGCGACCTCCCACCCTACGACCCCAGTTAGATGACATCAGCGAAGAGGAGGAAGTTAACTTTGATGGTTATGTAACGCGAGCAGGGCGTACAATTCGCCGACCAGCTAAGTTCCTTGATCAAGTATTTTTCCTTTCATCCCCTGGGAGGGGGAGTTCTGTAGCGAGTAGATTATCCCAATAATATACTCGCTCCAAATATAGTGTTAATGTTCCTGTCAACCTTTGGAGATGAATGAGGTGAGGCGTTGCCCGGGCAACACGGTGAGATGCCCGAGCAATATAAGCAGCGGTGTAGCGAACATTAACTAGTCTACTTTCAAGTGTGGTCTAGAGCAGACACTTGCGAGATACTGTACCGACGCTCAGTGCGCTCAACTCACACCAAAGTATCACCTGTGTACTTCTGTATATTCGACCAAATATATATATAGTATCTTAGTGTCTGTGTTTATTTGTCACCATACTTTACGTAACAATAGGACCGTTACACCACCCTGGTGGTCTGGCCTCAAAAGACCAAAATCCGAACACACCAGAAAAGTAACACCGTCACTGCAAGGGCAGTGACACTTGGCACAGTGTCTGGTTGGCAACCTAGGAGCACTACAGTGGACAATCAGAGTTGATCACATCAGCAACAAAACTGACTCGATGGTTTGGGGAGCTCTGGGGCTTGAGGCACCTGGTGGGGGAAGTTTGGTACTAACAACTTTGAGCTAATTTCAAGTGTCGATCATTTGTTTATATGTACATAGTTTAGGGAGTTTGTTTGGCAATTTTTGAGGCTTTGGTTCTTTTGAACCCAGCAGTGGTCTGTACTGGTGCACTAACTTCTGAATGCTTTCAGAGTGGAGTGGCAGTGTCACCCACTCTGCATCTCTGAGGGGGGGGGGGGGGGGCTAAGTTCTGGCTCTGGTTCCCAGTAGGTCAAACAGAATTCCGCAACTGATGTGACCGAGTAGTTGGGAGCAATCTTAGCAAGAGAGCTTCAGGGAGCCACAAGAGGGCTTCCCCAGAAAAACCAGACAGTAATATTTTAAATCAATGTGTGATGATATCCAAAGTACCCCATGAATCAACACATGAAGATAACCACATTATAAGGGGTTAATGGTTAAACATTTTTGTATTTGCTATCAAAAAGTCATTTTCCTTGTAATTCTCACAAGTAACATGCACTATTATGCCAAAAATGGTCACAAAAATTTTTCCAATAATTTTTATCTGTGGACATCTACCATATTAGCATAGGTCTTTATGCTATACATGTAGATGGTCTGGCGATTTATTTTGGTGTGGTTTGTTGAACAATACTGGAATTTATGGTTTTTATAATTTGCTGATGTCCAATGACCATCGACTGTGAGTACAGGTGCCATAAGCTAGGGAAGCTACCGAAGTGCTCCTCAGAAAGGGAGCGTTATTGCACCCCCTTGAAAATGAACATTTTAATTTAAAAATCTATTATACTGTACCTCTTCATCCGAGTCCTCTTCCTCAGGTCCTAGTGCCCAGACCTCTATACCACGCACCTCCAGCTTCTGGTGAGGGGAAAGTGAAGGGCTGCGAAAGGTGGAACATGAAGGTGCCACTGACCCTTTACCAAAGTCATAGTCGAGCCAAAATCCAAATAATTCCTCTCGGCCTCCCATGCCCTGCAAAGAAAAAAATGAACGTGCTACAATATTCTTGCTTAGTTTCTCTCAGACATACACACACACACACACACACACACATGACTATATCTTGACAAGAGATATAGAAGCCACGCTACTTTGTGATTTGTCAATAATCTAACTGTTTACAAATTGAAGACTGACAGGACAAGTGGCACTTTGAAGAGCAACTTCAGAAGGACAAGAGCCACTGCAGAAGGACAAGAGCCACTGCAGAAGGACAAGAGCCACTGCAGAAGGACAAGAGCCACTGCAGAAGGACAAGAGCCACTGCAGAAGAACAACAGCCATCTTGTTATGAAAGGCTCATTTTTTTCCATTGATCATGTTACAACAATAAAAAAAGAGAGAGTAATTACACTAACATGACTGTATCAGTGAGAAAATTCGAAGGAGCCATGATGAGGGTTCGAGCCTATATGGTGGGTGTTCCCATGCACTCTCTCTAGCGATAGATCACGACTAATATTAGACACAGCTTTGTGTCATCCTTTGCAGACGATACAAAAATCAGCATGAAAATTGGCACTGTAGAAGACACCGAAAAACTACAGGCAGATATAAATAAAGCATTCAATTGAGCAACTGAAAATAACATGATGTTTAACAAGTTCCAGGTACTAAGGTATGGTGGAAACAAGGAACAAACAAAACACAGGGTACAGGACACAAATCAGACCTACTCAGAAGAAGAGCAACATGTAAAGGACCTATGATGTCTGATAACCTGACATTTAGTGAACACAACTATGCAAATATAATGGCGACCAGGAAAATAATAGGATGGATTATGAGAACGTTCAAATCCAGAGACCCCACAGCAATGCTAACACTACAGTATTTAAATCACTAGTGCTGTCCTGTCTTGAGTATTGCTCGGTACTCACTTTCCCTTTCAGAGCAGGAGAGATCTCTGAAATAGAGGAAATATAGAGAACATATACAGCATGCATAGAAATGATAGAACATCTAAATCATTGGGATCATCTCAAAGCTCACAAAATGTACTCTCTGGAAAGGACATGAGAAAGGTATCAAATATATACACTGTACATGGAAGATACTGGAAGGCCAGGTCCCAAATGTGCACAGTAGAATAAAAACATACTGGAGCGAAAGATATGGAAGGAAATGTAGAATAAAACAAGTGAGGAGTAGAGGTGCCATAGGCACAATCAGAGAACACTGTCTGAACATCAGGGGTCCACAGCTGTTTAACACCCTCCCAGCAAGCATTAAAAATATTGCCAGAACGAAGGTGGATGTATTCATGAGACACTTGAACAGGTTCTTGCAAGAAGTGCCGGACCAACCAGACTGTAGTGGATATGTGGGCCTGCGGGTCATTCCAAACAAAAGCTTGTTGGACCAAGTTATCAAGTTGAGCCTGGCCCCGGACCGAGCTCGAGGAGTAGAAGAACTCCCAAAACCCTCTCCAGGTATGGTATAAAGATTGAAACCTGGAGTTCTACTGAACACACAAGGATTTCCTGAGGCTTCTACTGAAGCCAGAACAGACTTTTCACACAATCCCCCCATGCACTTTGGCTCTGTCATCTATTTTCTTACTGATGCACTCATGTTAGTGTTATTACTATCTCTGTATTGAAAGAGGAGCATCAGAAGTAGAAAATTCCTAGATCAGTAGTATTATTCGTTAAAAGAAAACATTTACATTTATAATTACTGTAAAAGAAATCTCTTCACATTTACGTCACTAACAATTATAATGGTAACTAATTCCTGAAAAGGAAGTAATTATTCCTGTTGGATTTACACCTCCCACATTGGGTGATGTTTTCCTTTGTCATCACCAAATGCATGCAACTACCATGTCCAAACTTCTTCTGAATGTCAGATGTACAGACAATCATTTCCGAATGTTGAAACTGTTTCTTTGATACAGTTGGCAATCTCGCAATTTGCAGTGAACACTTTCTTGTTGCTGTTCGACCGTACCCACGAATCTCGGGACAACAGTTAATCAACACACTGTAAATCCCATTCTTGAAATAATCATAACATTGTATTTTCATTTCCTGTCCAATCCCCTTACTCCTTTTTCTTTTGTCTTACCATGTCAGATATTTATTATCAAAAAATAATTAAATTAACCAAAGAATTTTGGTCAAGACAAAAGAATTACTTATAGAAGTTACACTCAATTTAAAGACTTACCAGTCCATTGGGCATTGTATTTTTCTCCAAGTAATTTAAATACATAAAGTTCTTATTATAGCCTGTGCTGTGGAAGATTCCTGCCTGAGGCTCCAATGCAAACAAAAAGCATTCAGGTGTACCTGCAACATAGGGAAATTAACAATTATTAACAACTAGCATGAAAGTTTTTATGTAGACTATCAATAAACTCACTCTCTCTCATATATACACACACACACACACACACCTAGGTAAGCTTCTAACATGGATGAAAAATTTTCCGATACAGAAAAATGAGGACAGTAATCAGAGGCACTGTATCGGATTGAAGAAATGTCATGAGTGGAATACCACAGGGTTCAGTTCTTGCACCGGTAATGTTCATTTTCTACATAAATGATCTACTAGATGGAATAAAGAATTATATGAACATGTTTGCTGATGATGCTAAGATAACAGGGAAGATAAGAAACTTAGATGATTGTCATGCCCTTCAAGAAAACCTGGACAAAATAAGTGTATGGAGCACCACTTGGCAAATAGAATTGAATGTGAATAAATGCCATGTTATGGAATGTGGAATAGGAGACCATAGACCCCACACAACCTATAAATTATGGAGAAATCTTTAAAGAATTTTGATCTAGGGGGGGTGGTTCTAGATAGAAAACTATCACCTGAGGACACAAAGAACATCATGTGCAGAGCCTATGCTACATTTTCTAACTTCAAAACTGCTTTTAAATACATGGATGGCAAAATACTAGACTTGTAAAGTTCATGACTTGTTAGAAGACCAAAGCTAGAATATGCAGCAGTTGTATGGTGCCCATATCTTAAGAAGCACATCAACAAACTGGAAAAGGTGCAAAGACATGCAACAAAGTGGCTCCCAGAACTGAAGGACAAGAGCTACGAGGAGACGCTAGAAGCATTAAATATGCCAAAATTTGAAGATTGAAGTAAAGAGGTGATATGATCACTACGTACAAAATAGTAACAGCAATGGATAAAAATGATGGGAACAAATTCTCAAGACCTGGAACTTCAAGAACAAGAGGTCACAAATTTATAACTAAACAATGCTGCCGAAGAAATATAAGAAAATTCACTTTCACAAACAGAATGGTAGACGGTTGGAACAAGTTAGATGAGAAGGTGGTGGAGGCCAAAACCGTCAGTAATTTCAAAGCGTTATATGACAAAGAGTGTTGGGAAGATGGGACACCACAAGCATAGCTCTTATCCTGTAATTACACTTAGGTAATTACTGTACAAGTACAACAAGGCTAGTAGGTGGGGCATAAAGAACTAGACCTCACTTCCCCATTGCCACTGATATTTAAGTACAGATAGGTCAATATACTCAACCTATAAAGAAGGAAATATACAAGAAACATATTTTTATAACGTGAGGAACAATAAATGTGTCGAGTTATATTAAAGCGTGTAAGCAAGAGCGTGTAAAGCAAGAGCGTGAGCGAGAGACGGCGAGGGAGGGGGGGGGGAGAGAGAGGCTCTTGCTCCTCCCTTGCTGCTGAACAGCAGTTGTAAATATACCGACTCATTAAACTAACCATGCTTTTTTAAAAAATGATTTATTAATATGAAAAACAAATACTGAAAGTACCAAAGGCCCTAAAAAGAACAAAGCTGGTTTTGGCAAGTACTTTTTCCTTATTTGTACAAATTTGGGGAAGGGAAGACGATGCTCTCTCACTGGTTGCTGTTTTCGTTCAGTCCTATCCCAGAGGGCAATGAATGTTATATCTTTGACTGTATGACCCCCCTCAGGATCTGGGTCTCTGGAACCAAATAATTTGTTTTTAAGAACTTTGACACAATGATTTATGATTCAGAGAAACTTAGATGATTGTCATGCCCTTCAAGAAAACCTGGACAAAATAGACATCTTGACAATTCAAGATGTCTGCATTAACATAACTTCACTAACATGCATCAACCTTAAGATTAATGGAAGAAACACACATCATGAAGGTTAAAATAATAGCCCAATACTTGTACAACATTTAACACCTTGAGTTAGTAACTTTTCTGTGACTATAAGCGAGTTACCTGCCTATTTTGGAATCTTAAAATATTTATGGTGGACATGATATTTTTATTTTCCTGGTTGTTTATCCTCATTAGCTTCCCTGAGTTTATGGTAATGGCACACTAGCAACATACTGTGTATGCCAGGCCCACATGACTTTTCTCTACTCACAAGGATCACCACCTAACCTAACCATCTTGTCCATTTCACATGGCTTGGAGAGCACTCATCAGTGAACCCACTAACAAGGCAAACTGTCCGCTAAAAAGTAAAGAAGAAGTCACAACAAACTTGCCGCAGTTGGTTAACATCCACAAAACCTTGATTTAATTCCCACAGAGGATGGAGATTATGGACACATTTGCTATAGCAGTAAGTGATTGTGCTATCATTCAGCTCAAGCAAATGGTGAAGCTCTGTAACCTTTGCCAGAATTTCACTTGTGATAAGTGTTAAATAATAAATTAATATTTTTTCCATGACTCCTTTCACCCTTCACCAAAATACTATGGGGGTTGGGTGTTAAAAATATGCTTGCCTTACCTTAAGCCTTGTTCAGTGTAGACATCCCAGTTTTCCTATGCTTTAAGGAGGTCATTTACCTCGTTTCTATATAGGTTGGGATGCAATGGTTCTCATACCCAGTTCATAGCCGAACTCCAGCCTACAGCTTTTCCAGGTGTTATACGGTGTACTGTATTTTAATGCTGTTGGACACCCGGGAATGCCTCCACCCTTCTGCAAATGTTTTTCCCATCATTGGTTGTGCACTGTGTGTTTCATTATGTGGCTGGTGTGCTGGTCTTGCTGCTTTCTTGAGTGTTTGCCTTTCAGGCCACAGCATAGCTCTGAGCTCAGACCAAGCATTTCACTCATTTGCAGACCTGAGCTGTTATTGGTATAATTATGGAGAGCAGTACTCTGTACATGATAGAGGCTTTGTGGTAATAGTCTGTCTTTTTTAGCCGTTTCTTCTAGTTTTGAAAAAACTTGGGATGATACATCCCAATCTAGATGTGGATCCTTTGCCGGTTCAATATCCGTGTTCCCTGGTTCCTGTCGGCATTGGTCTTTTTTTGCTCAAAAGATCTGGTAAGAGTTGGCAGAGATGCTCAATTTCTCTTAATATGTTCTGGAGTTTTATGCTGCACAGCTGCATGCTGAGTTAGTGTGTCTGGCTATGGTCACCGATTGCATGTACCACTAGTTCTTTGCTCAAGCTGTTCACACTTTCTGTGGAAAACTGTCAATATTCTGTGTGGCTCTCCATGATTGCAGGCAATTTGGTAATTTGGCACTTATCAAAACACTTTTGAAAGAAAGTCAAGGGTTTTGTGGCCTACTTTTGATGCTTTTATGAGTGGTTCACTTCAGTATTGGGTTTATCTCAGATTTGAATGTAATATTACCATGTAGAACGGGCATGGGGAATTTGAAATAACCCTCGTTTCTTTGGTTGGTAGTGTGTTTAACAGATGCCTGGCATGCTAGATTTGTCTAGTGTGTAAGCTGAGGGAAGCTACTCAGGGAAGCTGTCAAGAAATACTTGTGCACAATGCAGGTAGTCAAAAAAAATGAAATGCACCAAACAAAGTTGTTGTTGTTAAAGAATCTCCATCCTCAGTTTCAATGCAATACATTTAAAAGCAGTTTGCATGTATCTTCTATATAAAACTCAAATTATTGTATTGTCCAGTAGAGAAGATGAGAAAGAAAATTATTCTATGTCTGCTTTTGTGCCATGTCTGCTTTTGAGCCATGTCTGCTTTTGAGCCATGTCTGCTTTTGTGCCATGTCTGCTTTTGAGCCATGTCTGCTTTTGAGCCATGTCTGCTTTTGTGCCATGTCTGCTTTATTCATACATCCATAGGTCTTACATTCATACAAGTTGGTTCCAACATAATCAAAATGTAACCAAGTCTCAAATGTTTATATGACCATGAAATTTAAATTTTAAGCGTATTTGTCTTACTCTCGGACAATTATGGGTGCAAGCACCACTGTCTGGTTTAGAGTGGAGTACATATAACAGGTATGCTCCAATATCTAAACTTTGTTGTTTATGATGTCAGTCTAACAAGTCTGGCAAAATGTCTGAATAGTCATGTTTCCTTAAATGTTATCACTACACATTGCATTTATGAATGGGTTTAACCAGCCAAAATTGTTCTATGGTTACCAAACACCACTCTGGAAACATGTCTCTTCTGTCATGCACAAGTCTGCTAACAAGGGCTCAAGAAATACGAAAAAAATGTGTAGGATTTCACAAATGGAGATAAAGGAAGAATTAACAATATATTACCAAGCACAGCATACTGTTCACATCTACTCACCCTGAAACTGTGGTCTGACCTCCCATGATACTGCTGCAAAACCTCCAAATTTATTTCTTGACTGATCCTCCACTATGATGAGTGTGGGACCTTTTCCCATAATCTGAAATAAGTACATCATTTCAATTAATATTGTAATCTCATTACAGTGGACAATATACATCAAGAAATGAATGTGATGAAATGGCTTTTTCTGGTCGACCCCACAGTACTTTCCCAGAACTTACCTGGTTGATGGGGTTCTGGGAGTTCTTCTACTCCCCAAGCCCGGCCTGAGGGCAGACTTGACTTGAGCATTGTAATCACTAAGCCTTCAGGTTGTACCAGGCCTCCGAGACTTATACAGGCTTTACGGGAACCAGGACCAGAATTTAGTTCTCTTGGCAGGATGTGGAGAATGAAGGATCAGAGACCGACTCAGAAAACTAAAGAAAACCAACCAGAAAGTCCAAACAAAATGAAACGAACCACTGCTTAGAAGAAAAAGAAATAAGGAAAACAATGGAAAAGATAGTTTTGCGGCGGGGTGAGCAATTCATTCAGTTTATTCAATGATTCATTACGCAGCCACCAGACAGCAGCCCAGGCAAACTGGGATCCTGATGCACCAACCACCTACTTCACAAGCCATCAGAACCGAACCACAAAACCCAACAGGAAGGAAGGAAAGAAATGGACAGGAATGGAGTTTGAAGGAGTTGACCAGAAAGTTTGTTTAATTACATTCTCCGAGCTTACTCACAGCAGCTTCTTTGAATGGAAGATAGCACTGCTTAAAACTTAATATTGAGTGGTCCCCACCCCAGGATTAGGAGCAGCTGATAGCTTGTTCCAAAGCACTTTATTTTACCAAATGAGTTTGTAATGAAAATGCATAGGAAAGAATGTTCAATTGCATGTACAGTATTATTTGTATTGTACAGTATTATACAGTATTTGTCTGAAATGCTATGCGTACTAGTTACTTTAGGTATTGTATGTACTACCTCTATCTTTAAATCAAACAGAATGTTTGTACTGTAACTCTGCAACTATGTATGTACTTTTCCTAAATAAATTGTTATTATTAATATTATTATTATTATTATTAAAATAATGTTAGGTATATTGGTACAAAACTGAAAAAACATTAAATTTCAAAAGCAATGGGACCCCCAGTTACAGCAGAAGGATCTGCGTATTCGAGTGGGAGTACACTGCATTATGTAAAATGCTTAACAATCTTACGTACCTGCTTCATAAATATACTGAAGCTCCACCCATGCGTGACTGTAGAAAACAAGAATCTCCACTCTGATTGCATGAGCGGTGGCAGGGCATTGTTGAGGAAGAGTACTTGGGCAGCAGTCAACATGCAAGGAAATGACTGAAAAAAAATAAAATTCTAAATGAAAATTCTATGTACTGTACAGTATACAAACTATGATAATAAATTTAAGACAACAACAGAAAGACCAGACACAAAGATTGGAGGAGAAGCTCTGACTGGTACTGGTGCCAGTGTCTCCCCCCTGCCTGACTGTGGTACTGGTGCCAGTGTCTCCCCCTGCCTGACTGTGGTACTGGTGGCAGTGTCTCCCCCCTGCCTGACTGTGGTACTGGTGCCAGTGTCTCCCTGCCTGACTGTGGTACTGGTGCCAGTGTCCCCCCCTGCCTGACTGTGGTACTGGTGCCAGTGTCTCCCCCCCTGCCTGACTGTGGTACTGGTGCCAGTGTCTCCCCCTGCCTGACTGTGGTACTGGTGCCAGTGTCTCCCCCTGCCTGACTGTGGTACTGGTGCCAGTGTCTCCCCCTGCCTGACTGTGGTACTGGTGCCAGTGTCTCCCCCTGCCTGACTGTGGTACTGGTGCCAGTGTCTCCCCCTGCCTGACTGTGGTACTGGTGCCAGGGTCTCCCCCTGCCTGACTGTGGTACTGGTGCCAGTGTCTCCCTGCCTGACTGTGGTACTGGTGCCAGTGTCTCCCTGCCTGACTGTCCAAGAACACAATGTGCACTTACTTTTAGGAGCAGAGAAATGTGTTAGCTAAAAATACAAAATGTTCGATAATTGCATTATTAATTAATTAAACACTCAAATATGTATTTCTGAAACAAAATAATATGCCCCAAGGAAGATTAAATGATGACTCCACCACAGTTTATTTTGGAGAAGTAACAAGTATTCATATGGCAGTCATCATGTTTACCTTAGGAAGTTGAGTAGGTTGAGGCATGAGTGCATTATAGTCAATAGGAGAGAGGGAGAAGCAATTCTTGAGAACTTCTGTCTCCAGTGTGGTAAAGATCGAGTGACCCAAGCACCACTTTTCAAAGTTGTCATAAGAAAATCGAACTTTAGGAGGAGGCTTGCCCCATACCTAGTTGAAAAAGTAGAGTATAATAAAATTTGATTAAACACAAACATTACAATAATAAAAGATAGGCCAATTTTATAAGCAGCTGCACTCTTCTATAAGCAAGATATATTAGAAATATTAAACTATTAATAACTCAAAATGTATGCATATTATATTTTTGAACAAGTTATTGCCAAGTTGCCCACTCAGCATTGCATAGCCCCAAGAGAAGAAAATACCAGCATTGAATGTAATGAAATGCCATTTTTCTGGGTGAGCCCCAGAGGCTTTGTGGAGCTATTCAGCTAATGTGTGATATATTAGACCAGGGCATTAGTCTATGGAGTTCAACCTACCAGGGACCACTAGCCTAGAACCTGGCCCCCTCAGAGAGGATGCAAGGAGCAATGGCCCTGGAAAAAACCCATGGTTGGGGGTCTTCCTTATCTGCCATCGACTGGGGTTAGGCCCCCAGAAAGGTAGGCATAACAAAAACACCACATGGTAAGAAAAGTACAAAGGAAAACCAATGAGAGGTAGAACTCCCTCCAATCCCAAGGAAACAAGCAAACGTCACACTCCACGCTGTGCCGCTCGTCTGCGCAGCTCTTCCCTTCCCAGGAATGGTTGGGGTGGGGGGGGGGAGCCCAGGACCAAAAATTCTGTAACTTATGTGACTTGTAGTATGGATCAATCTCAGCAAGATAACTAGAGAATGCCACTGGAGCTCTTCCAGAAATAAGCATTTCATTATATTCAATGCTGGATTTTTACCCGACATAATAACATTGCATTATCATCCATCACACACGAGCAAATGAAGTTCAATACAAGGTAATGAATACAAACTCTTACCTCCTTAGGACTCTCACCAGCATGCATCAAATCATGTAATAAGGCTTGTGATACAGCTGCTTCAGTACTTGCTGATGACTTCCACCCTCTGTATCCAGGCTGACTGGTTATCATACGCAGGTATGCACACACAATTACCTCAGTATACTGAAAGACACAATTTTATTTATTTCTGCACTCTGGAAGTAAAATGCAATACATGTACTGTATAAAATGTTTTATGTCCAGTGTCCCTTAAAGTGTAGGAATGTGGTGACCAAACAACTAACAATGGGATGATATCTGCCCTCCATCTTTTGCATTAAAAAAAACAGCGTTGAATGTAATGAAACACCATTTTCTGGCTGAGCCCTGGAGGCTCCCTGGAGCTGTCGGGCTAACATGCAATCTTTAAACCAGGGCAACAGTCAATGGAGTTCTGCCTACCGGGGACCACTAACTAGAACATGGCCCCCTCAGAAAGGCACAGGGAGCAATGGCCCTGGAAAACTCCAGGTGGTGGGTGCACCAGAGACTTATACAATTGAATGACTACTGTACCTTTTTTTTCTTCAAGGTGAGCCCAACCACTTGGGCTGGATGGGTAAGTGACAGTCTTGCTTCATGCAGGTCGCTGTTCATTCCCCGACTGTCCAAGTGCTTGGGCACCAATCCTTTCCCCAGTCCCATCCCAAATCCTTATCCTGATCTCATCCAAATGCTACATAGCCGTAATGGTTTGGCGTTTTCCCCTGAAAATTCCCTCCCTCCTTAAAGGTGAAGGTATGCTTGATTATTTCCAGAGTTTGATTAGCTTTTTTTTTTTACTGCCACAATTGCTTGTTGTGCAAATTTTAGTGAATGAATGATTCTGACTCCAAGGTCCTTTGCATCATCTATCTGTTGCAAAGTGGTGCTGTTAATTTGGAAATTGTGACGTGGGTTGTTATACCCCACGTGCAAGGTCTTGCATTTATCGACATTAAAAAGCATTTGCCAGTCATCTGACCATTTATGGAGTTCATATAGATCTCTTTGTAAGGTCTCAATATCTCTCTCACTTCCCACTTTAACACAGATCTTTGTGTCATCTGCAAATTTGATGATGTGATTTGTAACACTCATCTATATCATTGATATATATGACAAAATAGGTTGGGCCCCAAAATGGACCCCTGTGGCACACCACTAGTGGAGGCGTAGTGGTAACAGACTCCTCAAGCACCTTTAACAGCTCTGCAGAGACCATTTTAATAGTTATCTATGGTGCTGGTGTCTAGATGTCTCCTGCTTGAATGTCCAAGATGCTTAGCCAGAGGACAGAATGGTTCCTACCTTAATGGTCAACTGAATGCCAACTTCAAAACAATGCTCTGCATTACATAAATATAAACTGATAACATATGCTTACCTTAATAATACGATCACAGTCTACTCCTTCTTGGCCTCCACCAGCTAATGTTAGGGTCAAGAACAGGTGCTCTTCCATTGAGCCTTTAAGAAGAGGTCCTAAGCTGTCCACTACTGCTGAACATGGCAAGGATGGAACACTTCTGTTTTTCGTTAAAATTCCGACAAATTTTGTCGTCATTTCTGCATTAAGGTGACTGGAGATATATTTCTGCAATATATTGCTATAATTATTAAGTATTCACCTAATACAATGCATTCAATTAATATATTTAGATGGGCCTAACCATAATATTCCAGAAAATTATAATTCATAAACTATCCTCATTCCTAACTTAAACACATAACACAAACAAAGGCCTCTATAGCAGTGTGAAATATGTAGAATCTTTCCTACATATTCTCATTC